GCTATTTATTAATGAGCTCGTTCTACCTAGCGTACAATACCCGATGACATCGAGCAGCTGAGTTCTATTCAACTCGGATACAGCGGGGGTAGACAAGGCTGACAGATGCCAGACAACCTCTAATAGGCACGAGAGTTCCAGAGAGGACAAGACAGCAACGCTTATTACTTCGTGAGTCTATGTCACTGGGCTCTCTACCTAGCCCAGACTCAGATCCCGCGCTAATTTTCTCTACATACGCCCCAGGACGACAGACAGGTACTCAGCAAAGACCCAGAGGAGCTAACGAAGCGTCTAGGTATTGATCACTTCTAGTCTTCTACCTTGTTCTCTATTGTTGAAACTTTTGAGTCACCTCACAGCTGATTTAGCTCAGTCTTTAATTCATTCGATTACTATTACAGCAACAGTGGGCAGCGACGAGTGTGAATTCATGAATACGATACCCTTCTTGCTCACCGAGGTGGAAGAGTGTAATTCTCAAGCACGGCTTCTTCAGCGGGACAATGGCCACCTGATTTCCTGTCAACTCAGCAAGATATGAGCACTTATGGAGCTATCCCACATGAACATATACACAGGTACCACACGGATTCTCTCCCTGTACGTAGGATCAGTATCAGCAAGGAGACATACGACACCATGCCAATGGCGAATAGAGTAGTTGTCTCTCCCCATTGGTCTCGATCTCAGCCTCAGTATTCCCTGCTGCTGTGTATGGGATATACACCTCTAGTTGCTAGTGCCGGGGCACAGTTGTCTGCTTCTGGGGACTATAGTCATGGGAACGATGGGATGCGGATTGGCATGTTTCTGATATAAATAGGATAGTGAGTTAGGATGTGTAGGGGAGTGCCCGCATATCCTGAACGGGACGCCTGCACCGACAGTGGTATGCTCTTCACTACCATCATGCAGCAGCTCGGTGTTGCTTGGGGTACCGTTGCAGATAAGCTCCTTTGCTAGACATGCCAATAACACTCACTGGGACGTTGCTGAGATGTATTGCCATCTAATCCATACAAGGCTGAAGCGCTCAGCTTCAGATTCTCTAGATTCAACCTCATTTGGGGTGTCGTGTCATTGCATCTAGTCCACCTGTGAGCCCTCCTAAACCATATCAAAAAGGGTGCACAGTTGAATATCTTGGTATGGAAGGGGCTCATTGACGGTGAGGGCAAGTTTACCGACTCCTTTGCGGAATGGAGTGGCGGCGGCCAGGTAAGAAAGCTTGGGTCTTGTGTCATAGCTACCGTGTAGGGTACACCAAGGAAAATAATAGCTCAAGTCCTGACCATACTACTAGGATACTATATCGAACAGTCAATAGCTCTGGTTCCCTCTTTACCGTTGAAGGGTTTAATCTTGTTCATAATATGAGCTTAATCTTGCCTTCTTGTCGTCTATTTTATGCTTAAAAACATACACTCCTGGATCTTTTCTATGGTAACCGGCCCTCCTCGTTACTCCTCTGAGTGGCCCCAATATATCAGTCAGTTAAATAAACAAGTAGCCCTATCGCTAAATTTCTCCAGAACTACTTCACCGTGCATGATCTTGGTACTTATTATATATGTTGATTTATGCTCGGGATAAAAAAAAAACTAGTCACACATGTATGGTAATGGCGGATATCATGAGCATAGAGAGCCAGGTTAGTCTCGTGGGCATACACCATAAGACAAAAGCAGCCTCATATATTCCCTCGTCCTCGGGTATTAACATGTTATGGGCATGTAGATCTCGTGTCTCGACCGCAGTCATTGGAGTTTACTAGTATATGTGTCAAGGCATATCTTCTAAAACACTCTTTTCACCAAAACGAGTGCTAATATATATCCAGGAACAACTATCATTCAGACACCCAGCATAGGTTATGCTCAAGTACTCCATATTCTATAGTCACAAGACCCGCTCTACGCATAAAAGAATCAACCACTCAACACCAATCCAACAACACCCCATAACTCCACTATACCCACTTACAAGATATAAACTCTGGTTCAGAAGTCCCAGTTTTGTTTTATATTACTTGGTATATAAATATTAAAGTTGAACTATGACGACATAAGAGGGCGGCTGGCCTAATGGTAAGGCGCTAGATTTCGGCTCTAGAGATTGCAGGTTCGATCCCTGCGTCGCTCGATCTTTTTGTCTTTTTGGCTCCGATCATGCATACATACTATATACACCCTTGACTGGTTAATTATTCTGTAAGTAGGGGTCGTGGTTAAGGAGAGGGACATGCTGCTAGAGTGAAATAATGGTCTTCGTTGATATCTGCTACTATACTGATCAGTATAGTTTGCGAAGTACTCTAGATAGGTCTTGCCTCGGTCTTCTAGCAGGACTATGTGTCGCGGACTTACCTCGACCGGAGCTACTTAGATGAAATTACTACTGGGAGCCGGCGGTTGATATTGACCATTGTACATGTCTATCTAGTGTACATCTCAGGGTAGAGTAGAGTAAAATACATTATTTACAGATCAGCAGTCCGCCCTGCCGAAATACCGAGGGAAAGAGACCACGTCCCGGATGCTGGAGACGCCAGCCAGGTATCCCAGGAACCGGTCAAACCCGAGACCAAATCCTCCATGGGGCGCTGTTCCCCACCGCCGAAGATCCGCATACCACTGGAGATGGCCCAGGTCTTCGCCGGGCAAGAGGTGAGGGTACAGCGGCGTCTCGGAATCGGCTTGTGTTCCTGCTTCCGTTCCCGCACCCGGAGCGGGCGGTGCGCGGGCCTTGATTAGCCCGTGCTCGCGCATGTTCTGGATGATCTCGGGAAGGCGGTGCTCGCGGAGCGAGCCTCCTGCGACTTCGCTAACCTCTGGGAGGAGGAGATCAAAGCAGGCGACTGTTTCGCCTGGTGCCGCGGAGCCGTCTCCATTGGATGGTAGCATGTAGAATGGCTTGACAACCTTAGGATAGTCGGTCACGAACACGGGACGGCCGTTGTGAATCACGTCGACGATATACTTCTCATGCTCCAGTTGAAGACCGCCGGTCCATTCGGGTGCATGTTCGAACGTGGCTTGTCCCTTGGCGACCGCGTCCTGGAGCTTTTCAATTGCTTGCGTGTAGGTCATACGACCCCATTTGGATCCCTCCATCATATCATTCCATCGTTGGCTTAGATCAGCACCGGATCCTTCAGTTTGATCTTGACCGGACTCGCCCGACCGCTTTGCGGACAAGATCTCCTGGCCAACAGGTGTATCATGTAACCGACGAACCAGGTCACGGAGAATATACTCCACGGAGTCGGTCAGTGAGTCTAAGTCATGCATGTAATTCATCTCCGCCTCCAGCATGTAGAACTCGCTAAGATGGCGCGGCGTATCACTCTTCTCGGCCCGGAACATGGGCGATATCGTCCATACGTTTCCTAACTCTGCTGCGTAGGCCTCAAGGTGGAGCTGCGACGATACCGTCAGGTATTTGGGTGCCCGAAAGAAATGCTCGCCCTCTGACTGTGCCCCAATAGCTTCCCGCGGCAGAACTGTGAATGTCTCTCCAGCACCTTCACAATCCGACGATGTGATCAACGGTGGGTGGACTTGAACGTAGCCCCCGTTCGGGGCGAATCGAAACACATTTCCTAGCTGGTACATGCATTCGGATCTGAACCGCGAGAGGAGGGAGTTGAATGGTGTGCGCATGCGGAGGTGGGGAATCTGACGAAGGAAGTCGGAGCTGTGGTACTTTTTCTGGATGGGGTATGTCTGTCCGTAATATGATAGTTAGCTGCATCGCCCTTCGGGTCTTTCGTATAATCTCCAGAAGGCCTTGTCTACCTCAGGGTCTGCTTTCCCAAGAACATTCACGTCTGTCGTTTGAAGCTCATGAGTTTGCTCCTTGCCCGGTGGGCAAGCCTTCCAGATTCCAGAGATTTCCACAGCAGTTCCAGTAGACAGTCTAGAGATACATTGATTAGAGCCCAGTTCCCCGGAACCAGTCAAGGGTGGTCAAGCCCAGTAGGAAGGCGGACGTACTCGGCAGCTTGTGCTGGCTTCAAAAAGGCCTGTAAAGGCTCAATTGTAGACCCATCTGAGATCTCGGCGAACGCAAAGCGTTTCTGCTTTCGGACGGAGCGAATAAACCCATTCAACTTGATCTCTTGATCTTCCAAACTGCAGGGTCCATTCTTGCTTTGCTCAAGGACCTGTGCGCATCGTAAGAGCGTGGGGCTCACGCCCTGGCCGGCAGGTTTATTGCTTAGTCTGGCAACAGACGTAGCGAAGGTTCGCCGCCATGTTCGCATTTCTTGTAGAAAAGGTACCGAGCTGGTTGTGGTGATGGCGTTGAGGGCTCTGCTCTGGGGAATGCGCGTGTGCCTAAGCGCCGGAGGACGGCGCGCAAATTAACTTATTGGTCCGATAAATAGCTTACTGTTATCTCCGCACCTTTCGAACGAAACTGGATAAAAAGTCACTTAGGAGAGCTGAAGTATACTATATTATTCTGTGAATTAGAATGGCCATAACAAGCCCCGCTAGCTCAGTTGGCTAGAGCGCCAGACTTTTAAAGCAAAAACTTGCTGCAATCTGGATGTCAGGAGTTCGAGCCTCCTGCGGGGCGATGTTCTCTTTTTGTCTGTTTATCTTTTGTTTGTGTGTTTTTTCCCTTCCTCTTCTCCCTTTCAAAAATAGTTTATGGTTTTTTTTCTTCTTCTAATGAACCTATTCCTATTCATATATGTATGTATCTCGTGATTCTCTAATGAGGGACTGGTGTATTTTAACCACCACCTTACTAACACCAACTCCGTTTTGTCTCAACAACAGTCTGTTACCATAGAAGACAACGAACTATGCAGTCTGGCCCCCTCTATCTCGTACTTAAGCCACACTCATCCACATAGTCAATTAGCATTGGAATCGTCAGCTAGTAGCTGTAATCTAGACATTTATGTTGAAAGTGTATTGGGTCACAGGCGGTCCTTCTCGTTCTTGGTCCGTTTATAGCACCGGTTATTCAGTAAGGCCGTAGCATCTCTACCATGGCAAGCCCTCCCCATATATCTTCTCATACATTGCTAGTGCTCGAAGCGGGAAAGAGTAGATGTAGTAGTAGTATTTAATATGACTGTGAGCGCATCAGCATTGAACTCGGATTGCCGGCGGTGGAAGAACATACCACGTAACAATCCCACAGCCGACGGAGTATTCTTGTTCCCATTCACCGTTTGGCTTTTGTCGATTCCAGATGAGATCAAGTCCTCGTTTGATGGGTTCTGGATCAGGGTAGCCGGCGTACATCAGCGCGAGGCAAGACCATGCTGTCTGGACTGTGTGCGACCGAAGGGCTCGTACGTATGAACCCGACATACGGGACTAACAGAGGCATTCCTTAGTTTTCAAGTCTTTCTCCGTAGGGAAGATTGGAGGTACTCACATCTAATGTCTCTCCCCACCCCCCCGTCCGACTCCTGCATGTCAAACAGGAAACGACAGCCCTCTCTGACCACGGGAGAGTTCTTATAGCTCCGTCCACCACAGTGCAAGGCTTCCATGGCAAAGAAAGCGCCATACGTGAACGTGATCCCCCAAGAAGCCATCCAGCTACCATCTTCCTTCTGGCTCCTCTCCACGTATTGTACCCCCCGCTCAATGGCATCATCCACTTCCTTGGACCGATACCCGCTCTTTCGATCCCTGAAAAGGTCCAAAGCCGTGATGCAGGAAGAGGTACACTCCACGTAATCGTGTTCCGTCATCACCTGGCCGAACATTTCAGTCCCATTGAGGTGCTCCAGCCACTCACCGGCGCCGATGGGTTCGAAGCTGCTATAGCCTCCGCTTGCATTTTGGATATATAGTAATTGGTCCACAGCCAAATGAAGGTTCTTCTCACTCATTTCTCGGAGACTCGTCTCCTTCTCCAACAGCAGAATCGCTTTCAGTGCTTCGGCTGTGCAATCAGAACAAGGGATCCCATGGTAGCGGGCGGTAAAGGACCACGCGCCCAGCCGACTTGGATAATGACAAGAGGGACAATCCTCCCACTCTTCCACAAGCTGTTGCTTGATCAGGAACTCATAGGCATGGCGGGCATTTCCGTGGAAATCGGGATGATTCGCAAGGCCCGTATACACGAGTGACTGCAGCGCAAAGGACGTGTCCCACATGTGTCCCCCGTGAATACTCATGGTCTGCATGCCCGAAGAACCCATCCACAGGTACTCCAGACTCGTTTCTTGCATACGCTTAAGGGCAGGGGAGTCAGGACCCTCGGCACAGTAGAAAGCAATCATGTTCAGCCAACCGTCGAGACTGACAATCCCGGTCGAGGTGGTGGCCCTTTCGGCATGCTGAAGGATTTCTCATGCTCTTTGCTGTCCCCTTTCCACTAGCTTTGTCGGACGAATCCATGGAAACCACACAGCCTTGAGGGTCCAGTTCAGAGTCTGCAGCACCCAGCCTTTAGCCTGATGTCGCTTGGACGCGAGCACCACCCCTTCGAACGCGGAGAAATTGACGGAGGAGAAGTCATCTGGAAACAGCTCTGCCCGAATTTCATCCAAAACATCATTAGTCGGGACGGTAAATCTCTTAGAGGAGAAAAAGCACATCGCTAGATAGACGTGGCGGGGGATGATGAACCATTGCCATGGGCTGACTGGAAGCCACTCAGGGAGGAGCCTGGCAGCAAGTCAGTATACTATCTTAAGTATATCAATGAGACTAAAACCTTACCACATCTCCACCGGGTAAGGGTCAGTACCTTCCCAGTCATACAGACCCAGCAGCGCAAGCCAGAACTTGGCCCAGCATGGGAGATAGACCGCTCCCCCCCGGTGCAGGTAGTATGCCTAGGCTTTACAAAGATGCTTATCACTGGCGGGGACTCCAATGAGTCGCAGGGCAATGTAAACCAATGTTGTACCCATCAACGAAGATTCCTCTTGCAAATACGTTGCCAGCCGCCGTCTGTCCGTTGGCAGTCGAACATGAACTGGATCAATTCAATAACGTAGGCTTCATCGATTTCAGCGCCAGTGATATACCAGGCGATAACCATCATTGGCGTCACAAAGAAGATACAGCTCAAGTCAGCGCCCCAGCAGCCCAGATCGCGGATCTGTGTATTGGCTTGAAACCGGGTACCCTTATAGATGGCTTCAGCAGCTGACTTGGGTGGGCCGGAGTCGGGAATGCCCTGGATTTTCCGTGTCAGCGTGTCAAATCATCCGAGGACACTCGCCACGGGTGAGTTACTATTGAAAGGTCCAAGAAGAACTTGGTTGTCGCATCTTGCGGTCGAGCCTTGCGATCCTCCTTGTCATTCACATAGATCCACCTCAGGCGTCCCAGATCTTCGGTCACCACCAGGTGCCACCCCTCGGTTTCAGTGCTTTTCGTGTAAGATGGGCGCGTCTTATCATTCTGATTGATCCCCAGATGGTTCTTAATCTTCAAGGTGTACTTGCTTGCCATTGCTCAAGATGGTAACCGACACGGGTATGAGAAAATCAAGAGTGCGCTGAAAAGCCGGGTAATCGACTCCTTATTACAGCTGAATCGCCATCCACACATATGCAGGTAATAAGTTGCTAAGTGATATTTCCGATTTCGGTATTGAAGAAGATCCACTATCTAAGTTTAGGAGTACAATGTAAGGACGATGTTATGCGTGATCTCAACCCGAGTGGCAAATCAGATATAACAACAACTCTCACGCACAATAAACTTCAATAATTTCCTCGATCTCCTAACTTGAGGTTGTTGCTCCAAGGGCTAGTGGATATAAAACGTTGGCCGGTGCTCTATACATGACACCATTTTTCTCATAGATGGTGGTAGCCATGTTCGACACGGCACCCTCACCCCTGGCTCTGGGGTTCTGTTTCCTCGTCTTCATATGCCTTGCTCGATGTTTGAGGCTGCTAAACAAGCGTTCCTTCCCCGTCAATGCCCCTAAATTTGTCGCAGGATACCCGCTCGTGGGAGTTCTGCCATGAGAGTATGACTGCCTCGCCCACTGGGAACTACAGCTACTATCTTGGCCGAGATTGCGTCGTGGGCCTGTCTGGTCCCCAGGGGCGCAAGACCTTTTTTGAGAGCCGGGATCTCGATCTGGACCAAGGGTTCGGTTTTTTGTCCCTCTGCCCCTCTCATACAAATAATTCAAGTAGCCACTCCTGACTCTTACCACCAAATCAGGGTCGGCCTGTTTTTTCCTATTAGCAGCGCGGTGGAGCGAGCCTCGGATCAATCCGCCGAAACGCATGGCTCGCATCTCAAGACTGCACTGCGCACGGCCTTGCTGCGCACAGAGGCCCTGGAATCTGTGCCGACAGCCACACTCGCCTGTACCAACTCAATCTGGAAGCACATTGCGGCGCAAGATCTGATCGACCCTTTCCAGGAGCTAAGCTGGCTATATGCGCAGTCTTCCCTAGCAGCGCTAGGGATGGAAAAGGTGGCACAATCCCCCGGGTTATTGAGGAAGGTAAGCAGGCTGGTCGCCGTCTTGGAGGAAACTTTTTCGACCATCGATATGATCGTCTCGTGGCTGCTGAACCCATTTCATATCCCTGTAGTTATCGCCATGGGGCGGCTGTATGTGATGCTGTGGCGAATCATCCGCCATCAGAAGTAGCAGCAGCAGCAACAGAAGCCCGAATACGGGATGCATAAGGGGGTAACGCAGCATCTGATTGCGAAAGGGAGAAGTACCAGGGCGATTTTGAAGGTGGGAGGGATCTCTTTTCTCTGGTTGACTGTCCATCGAGTGAAGGATACTAAAGACCTATTAGGTCGTGATGGTGGTCCAGTTTGTAGCTCAAGCGACTGCCCCGGCGATCACCTCATGGTTACTGATGGGACTTGCAACCGATGCCCATTGGATGGCTCGCGTACGCCTGGAAGTTGACCAGGTGCTAATCAAGTATCGAAAGAAAGGGCAGTCCGTGGAGCAAGTACTCCAAACCCTGGATTTACATGTCTGGGAGCATGAGTTTCCGCTCCTCGACGCCTGTTTTCTGGAAACTATCCGAACTCGGGGGGTGCTGTTGCCAGTCCGTAAAAATATCAGCCAGACAGACACTCCGATTGGGGATACAGGCGAGGTGATACCGGTAGGAGCCTATGTCGTAAGTCTTGGCTACTCATAGAATGGCCGCTCCGCTCGTTGATATTCTTCTTTTGACTAGACTTACCACGCGGACGAGGAGCATATGAACCCGGAGATCTACCCCGATCCGCAACGCTGGGATCTGGGGCGCTTCCTGTCGGATCGCGCAGAACATAGGAAAGAACTCATGGGGTATATAGGCTTTGGAGTGGGGCGTCGGGCATGCCGTAAGTTGATGTCCCCGAGAAATGGTCCATCTTCTAACACAGGAATGCATGTTTACAGCGGGACAAAGAGTAAGCTCAAACGTCTAGAATCGAAGCAGTATAGCAGGCGGACGCTAATCATAGCCAGTTGGCGAAAATCCAAAATTCCATGTTCGTGGCGAGGTTTATCGCGATGTTTGATATTACCCTGTGTAATGAACAAGGCAGTCCAGTCCAGCAACTTCCAGCACCGTCCCATGAACCCTGCCACTTTGCCCCCAGACCGGAATCACCTGTGCGGCTTCGATGTACCGACCGGTCATGAGAAAATTACTGCTCTTTCCAACAGCAAACCCGGCTGTATTAAAAGGGACGGGTATACATAAATTGAGGCCATTTCTTGGGAAGGATGATAACACGGGTATGTTGAGTACCATCGAAGGACGTATACACCTGATATACGATAGCTCCTTAAGCAATCCTGGTTAACAGTCCAATAAAGAAAGAAGCTTTCTAGCCTTTATCAAAGGTTAGGCTCTGTTGATATACGAATTATCTGTCAACCAAAATGACCAGATACCGGAAATAGAAAGACCCGGATCATTCAGCCATCACTCCTGACGGTCACGTTTCAACTATATAAAGCATTGCGGATTCAGAAGATTCAGATAGAACTATTGAAGTAGTTCAGGGATTAAGACCCTCATTCATTCGTTTTGTGACTGCTACCTTTGTAGGTATGATGTGGACAGCTTTGGGAGTAATATATATCAATCTGCGGCCCCACCGCCAGTCCGCAGCTCATGGTCTTTTTCTCGTCCTACCAGGATTATCAACCTAGCCTCGTGCAGACAGAGTTCCCTTTCGGTAATCAGTCCTCAGCCATGGTGATACCAGATATAGCTGTCCTAACTTTGGATAATTTTGCTTTCTTTGTGTGTGTGTTGTTGGGGCCTTAGCCATCCGGTCTAGTCTCGGGTATATTTTCTCTAAGAACATCGTAATAGAACTCTGGGAGGAAGGTATACATACATATAGGTAAGGGATGAATGTGTATTTACTCCAAACCGCAATCCTTCACCTCGCTCAGTGATCAGGTAGTCAACATATAATCCCATAACAAGCCTCACACCTGACCCAACCCCTCACCTTGCTCTACGCCAACATCGGCGCTGTCCCATACCAGATCCTATAGTATGTCCACCGCTGCAGATCTTCGATCTTACATTCTGATTCAATAATGGGGCGGTATTAGAGGGATTATAGTAATACTTACTCTACTTTATAGATTAGAGAACTATTGTATGGGTTTAAGTAGAAAGCGTTTAGATATGGATAGTCAAGCTTTTATGTGGAGTATATCTTAATCTACTAGATGGCCAACACATGGTCTTTGGTGGGCTAGTGCCAGGAATTATTAAGCTTCCCTCATATAGACAGAATCTAAAGAGATCCGCATCCACCGCCCGGATGGTCTAGTGGTATGATTCGCGCTTAGTATGTTCTTCCTGCACTGAACCAGTTACCTTACAATTTACTAACAACACCTCCAGGGTTCACCCAAAGCATTGACTGCGCGAGGTCCCCGGTTCGATCCCGGGTTCGGGCCTATTCTTTTTGCCGTTTCTTTTTTTTTGTCGGTGGCAGGAGGGCGGACGGAGAGACAGAGGTAGATAATTAGGGAGGGGGCTAGCTACTTACTACCTCTGGCCTCTCTAATAGCTAGACCCAGTCGACTCCTAATACCATCCCGACCTTTCTACTGTATAGGACATGACCCTTGTCCTGCACCTGCTGCCTTCGGGTACTCCCAACCCCTCATGTCGACAACTGTAACAATCCACAAGTTTGACAAGTTTGACAGAGACGGTCGAGGCCGTAGTAATAGTAATCGCAGCAATGAGCGGCAACGACACGAACAACCGGACGGATGGCAAGGGCGACCATATTACAACTACAAATTCACCACCGACAAGTCGAGATGACAGCAGAGGTCGAGGTCGCGGTCGAACTGCAGGTTGCAACTCTACAGTTTACCATACCAGCCAGGACTTGTTTGGGTGCGGTTATGACGGCCGTGAGGTCTTACACAGCCCTAAGCTAAGGACTGCCACTAAGGCTTCTGCTATTTCCATCAATTCTGATTTGGCCTCACCTCCTAACGCCGATTCGGCAATCAAACCCAATGCCGAGTCCTACTTCCCGTGTCGCAGCTGGCAGTTTATCTGCATCTCGAGCTGCGGCTGACATTAAAGCGAAGAGGAAATCTCTGGACACTGGATCCCGGAGTTTCAGACGACACTACGCCATTTAGGGCTAATTCCATCAACTTCACAGATTGCAGACTGCCTGTGGCATTGGCAGATCTGCATCCAGTCTTCGTTGAAGCCTACGGGGCTGTTTCCTTCGAGATCAGGCCCGACATCGTTATTGGCGGCGCTTTAGACTACACCTTGACGCTGTCGAAAGTCTGACTGGTGTCAGCATTAGCCCAAATTTTCATTTCCTACTCCGAATTAACGCAGACTGAGTTCGAGACGCGCACTGGCATTGAAGTTGCTACCCTGGAAGCTCGGCGGGGCCACTGTGCGGTAGCGTACGGTGCACTATCGCGAGGCCAGTACTGGCTTCGCTGCTCGTTGCTAACACTCGCGATTTACGGCTGGAACTGACACCTCTACGACGGCAATACAGCGCACATTGACTCTAATCTTAGTGGACGTTGCATGCTGACACACCTGTCACGCTTGCGAGGACCGTTTTATCTAGAAAGGCACATCAATATCTATATCTTGTCCGCCTTGTTTGATGGCAAATTGTATTGGTACTAGGCCAGGCGAGAGCTTGCATATTAATAATTGCGGTCCCGTTTGAATGCAATGACTCGGAAGTTTCCGCTGCTACCTTCATCGACGATGCTAGTGGATTTGCTGGGTTTTTCTAGTGAAGTCGAAGGACAAGATTTTCGAGGGTTTTACCTAAACGGCTAGATGTATATCTCAAGCGGCGATTTGACTACCAAGTAAAGTCTGTACACAGCGACAATACCGGCAAGCATGTCACTATTCGCGCATATTGCAAAGGTCGAGGTATCGTTTGGGACCTAGCCTAGCTCACACTCCGGAGCTGAATGGCGTTGCAGAAGTGCGTAATCGCCATCTTATCAAGTCCCTCGTCGCTCTTATGTCTGCAATGCAACTTCTAGACTGTCTTTGGCATCAGCTACTACTCGACGTTGACTATACGTCCAACCGACTATGGAGCTCAGGCGTCGAGATAATGCCATACGAGACGTATTACAGTGAACGGCTGGATATCTCGCACCTCCGGCACTCGGCTATCCGTGTTGGTATATGCCTATGAAAGTGCGTAAATCTAAGCTTGAAGAGTATATGGCAGCGGCCGAACTGCTTGATTACGACGGCTTGGTGAATATTTACTTGACGATATCCACAGGAAGCCTATTATCACTACTGACCATAGCAACTTCAAGGAGTTATCTGTAAAGTATTTACCGAGCCCGGAAGGGTTTGGAAGCTTTCTGAAGAACATGCGTGGAAGACTCTCGGATTGAGTGGGGCATGGGACGAACGAAGAAATGTGCCGATGAATGAATGAATGAATGAACAAGGACGGCGAAATGAGGGTTACAGACAAGGGAAGTACCAAGAATGCCTTAATCACGAGATCACATTCCGACAACCCTTGCTTGATAAATTAAGTAAAATAAGATAGGGATATAAAAAAAAGGGCAAAGCCAAAAAAAGTCAGGCCCGAACCCGGGATCGAACCGGGGACCTCGCGCAGTCAATGCTTTGGGTGAACCCCTGGAGATGCTGTTAGTAAATTGTAAAGATGACTGATATAATATCAGGAAGACATACTAAGCGCGAATCATACCACTAGACCATCCGGGCGGTGGATATCGATGTTTTGAAATTATACCTATGTGAGGGGGAAATAGATTCACTGTGTTCCCATCTGGTATGGTTTTCTCTGCTGGATCAACTCGCACAGTGTGGCTGTGCATGCCATCGAGCGTTCCCCTCTTCAATAGATAAAAATAGAACATTTAAATTTAATCCGAAATCATACAACAGGGCTGAAACCAAAACTACAGAAAAATCCCATTATAACTTAGAACTCTTGAAAACCTGAGGGTCGTACGACCTTGACATCTAATTGCACCCTACTACTAGTAGAGCGCCCAAACCCCCATAGGATAGGATTCATGCAGGAAAACCACCTTAATCACATTGAAATTTAATGTGAGAGTATGTGATCTTCCAACAGGACCAACGTTATCCTTTTATGCACTTGTCGAGGTGTCGCTATCACTGCTTGCATTGTCATCTTCGGTATTAACGCTTGGTGTTGGGCTGTCCAATCTATGATCTGATTAGCTGGACCTAAACCGGCAAACCTTGTAACCTTGCACTTGGACACAGGATTTCAACATACTTGAGCTTGAGAAGGTCTTTGCCAACATCCTTCAGAAACCCGAAAGATGCCTTTGCCGCCTTCTTGGCGGCTTTCCCAACCGCTTTCGCAGCCTCTTCAGACGCATGCTCGGCTTGGTACACAAGCTGGGCAAGTAACGCCTCGTCGGCAGCCTTACATGCGAGGACCCATTGTCCGTCAACCTCACTTGAGTCCTTATACACAGTTGACCCATGGATTTCAGGGTAAAAGCGGGTCTCGTCCCTCCCACTGACGACCATCACGCTGCGCCGGTTTGTGTCGGGCACTCGAAATGACCCGCTTGTCAGTGAAGTGGCACCTACCACACATTGATAGACAACCGAACTCGACATTGACACAGACCTGACCTGGCAGCTTTGCTCCCGAATACCGCCATTGTAGTCGGTATCATGCTTCGTATAAGTAGACTGCCCACCAAGATGGTAATACAACCAGTCGTCCCGGGAAGATGTTAATTGCACATTCTTGAGTGACATCTGTGGGTGTAGCTCGACAGTCCGAGAGGATTGCGGGTTTGCACGTCTCTGGACAATTCCACCACCTGGTACAACTGTTTCCCTACACGTCATCTCAAGGGTAGCCTGGATCACATAGTCGTATTCAGACTTCAGCTCATAATTTGGCGCATCACCGTAGAACTGAATGGCGGCAGCAGCCGTCACGAATGTCAAACTTGCCAATAACTTCATCATGAGTTTCGATGGTCAGGCGTGAACTGA